AAAAGAGACTGCCTGCTAAAATAAAAGATTAAAATAGACATTTCCTAACATAATAGACAAAACGTCTGTGGGATTTGACAAATTTATAATGACATGTATCCACCATTATTATACAGATTAGATTCACTGCCCTAAAAATGCTCTGTGCTCCACCACTGTCATCCTCTCCTGTACCACCTTGCAAACACTGTCTCCATAGTGTTGCCTTTTCCAGAAAGTCATAGAGTTGGAATCACATGTATGTAGACTTTCTGATTTGGCTTCTTTCACTTAAGAATATCATTTAATTTTCCTCCTTGTCTTTATAGCTCATTTCTTTTTATCACTGAATAATATTCCATTGTCTGGACATACCATAGTTAATTAATCCATTCAACTACAGAAAGACATCTTGGTTGCCCAAATTTGGACAATTATAAATAAAGCTGCTATAAACATCTGTATGCAAATTTTGGTGTGGACATAAATTTTCAAATTCTTTCGGTAAATACCAAGAAGTGCTATTGCTGGATAGTATGGTAAGAGTATGTTTAGTTTTGTAAGAAACCACTAAATTGTCTTCCAAAGTGTCTGTACCATTTTGCATTCCCACCAGCAATGAATGAGAGTTCCTGTTGCTCCACATCTTTGCCAGTATTCAGTGTTGTCAGGGTTTTTTATTTTGGCCGTTCTAATGGATGTGTAGTGGTATCTTATTATTGTTGTTTTAATTTGCATTTCCCTGGTGATATATGATGTGGAGTATTTTTTCATATCCTTATTTGCTATACATATATCATCTTTGGAGAAATATCTGTTAAGGCCTGTTTTTGTCTGGTTGCTTGTTTTCCTGTTATTGAGCTTTAAGAGTTCTTTGTACATTTTAGATAACAGTTCTTTATCAGACATGTCTTTTGCAAATAGTTTCTCCCAGTCTGTGGCTTGTCTTTTCATTCTCTTAATAGTATCTTTATCAGAGCAAAAGTTTTAAATTTTAATAAAGTCCAGCTTATCAATTATTTTCTTGCATGTGTTGTGCTTTTGGTTTTGTATCTAAAGTCATAATCAAACCCAAAGCCATCTAGATTTTCTTGTATGTTACATTCTAGCAGTTTTATAGTTTTTCTTTTTACACTTAGATCTGTGACCCATTTCGAGATAATTTATATGAAAGCTGTAAGGTCTGTGTCTAGATTTGTTTTTTTGCTCATGAACATCAACTTGTTCCAGCAGCATTTGTTGAAAAGATTATCTTTGCTCCATTGTATTGCCTTTGTTTCTTTGTCAAAGAATCAGTTGACTATATTTATTTGGGTCTATTTCTGGGCTCTCTATTTTGTTCCATTGATCTATTTGCCTATTGACAATACTACACAGTCTTGATTACCGTATCATAGCTTTATAGGAAGTCTTGAAGTTGGGTAGAGTCAGCCCTCCAACTTTGCTTTCCTTCAATATTGTGTTGGCTTTCCATATAAACTTTAGAATAAATTTGTCAATATCTACAAAATAACTTTCTGGAATTTTGATTGGGGTTACATTAAGTCTGTAGGTCAAGTTCAGAAGAATTGACATTTTGACAATATTGAGTCCTCCAATCCATAAACATGGAATATCTCTCCATTTACTTAGTTTTTCTTCAATTTCTTTCATCAAAGTTTTTTAGTTTTCCTCATACAGATCTTGTACAGATTTTGTTAGATTTATACTTAAGTCTTTCATTTTGGGGGATGCTGATGTAAATGGTATTGTGTTTTAATTTCAAACTCCACTTGTTCATTGTTGGTATGTAAGAAAGCAATAAACTTTTGTATATTAACCTTGTATCCTGAAAACTTGCCATAATCACTTGTTAGTTCCAGGAGTTTTTTTGTTGATTATTTTGGATTTTCTACATAGGCAATTATGTTATCTGTCATTTCTTTCACAATCTGTATATCTTTTATTTCCTTTTCATGTCTTACTACATTAGCTAAGACTTCCACTATGAGGTAGAAAAAGGAGTGATGGAAGGGACACCCTTGCCTTCTTTCTGATCTTAGTTAAGAAAGCTTCTAGTTTTTCATTATTAAGTACAATGTTAGCTGTAGGTATTTTATAGATGTCCTTTATCAAGTTGAGGAAGTTTTGCTCTATTGTTATTCCTAGTTTATTGAGAGTTTTTAAAAAATCTCAAATGGGTGTGAGATTTTGTCAAATGCTTTTTCTGCATGTATTGATATGATTATGTGATTTTTTTTTCTTCTTTAGCCTGGTTCTGTGATGAACTACATTAATTGATTTTCAAGTGTTGAACCAGGCTTGCATACCTGGGATAAATTCCACTTGATAATGGTGTAGAATTCTTTTTATATATTGTTGAATTTGATTTGTTAATAATTTATTGAGGATTTTTGCATCTATGTTCCTGAGATGTATTTGATTTCTTGTATTGTCTTTGTCTGGTTTTAGTAGTAGGGTGATAAGGCCATCATAGAATGAGTTAGGAAGTATTACCTCTGTTCTACTTCTGAAAGAGATTGTAGAGAATTGGTGTAATTTCTTCCTTAAATATTTGGTAGATTTCACCAATGAACTCATCTGGGCTTGGTGCTTCCTCTTTAGGTAGATTATTTATTATTGATTCAATTTCTTTAATAGATATAGGCCTGTTCATATTGTTTTCTTCTTGTTGTATGAGTTTTGGAATATTGTGTCTTTCAGGAAATTGGCATTTCATCTAGATTATTGAAGTTGTGGGCATAAAGTTGTCCTGTGTTTCTATCCTTTTAATGTCCATAGAATATGTAGTGATGGCTTTTTTTCATTTCTGATATTAGTAATTTGTGTCCTCTATATTTTTTTCTTAGTTAGCTTGGCTAGAGTCTTATCAATATTATTGACCTTTGCAAATAACCCATTTTAGTTTTATTGGTTTTCTTTATTGATTTCTTGTTTTTCAATTTCATTGATTTCTGCTCTTTTATTATTTCTTTTCTCTTGCTTCCTTTGGATTTAATCTGCTATTTTTCTTAGTTCCCTAAGATACAAGCTTAAAATGACTGATTTAAGGTCTTTCTTCTTTTCTAATATATGTATTCAGTGGTACAAATTTCCCTCTAAAGACTGCTTTTGATACATACTATAAATTTTGATAAGTGGTGTTTTCATTTTTATTTAGTTCAAAATATTTTTAAATTTTTCTTGAGATTTCTTCCTGACCCATTTGTTATTTAGAAGTATGTTATATAATCACCATGTATTTTTGGACTTTCCGGTAATTTCTTTGTTATTGATTTCTACTTTAATTTCATTGTGGTCTGATAGCAGACGTTGTATGACTTCTATTCTTTTAAGTTAATTAAGGTTTGTTTTTATCATAACTTGGTCTATCTTGGTGAGTATTCATAATGTTTTAAAGCATATCTTTTTGTATTGAACACTTCACTCAATAACAGCAGAATGCACTCCCCCACCTCCCAAGGACCTAAAGACATTTACCAAGATAGACCATGTGCTTGGCCTTAAAACAGACATCAAATTTTTTAAAAAATTGAAATCAGACAAGGTCTGTTCTCTGAGCACAATGCAATCAAACTAGACATCAAGAACAGAAAGATGATAAGTAAGCCTTTAAACCCTTGAAAGTTATACAACACACTTCTAAATAATCTACAGATCAAAGATGAAGTCTCAAAGAAAAATTTAAAAATATACATAAACTGAGTGAAAAAAATATAACATATAGAAATATGTAACATGCAGCTTAAGCACAGCTGAGAGAGAAATTTATAATACTAAATGCTTACATTTGAAATGAAGAACTGTCCCACGTCATTAATTGAAATTTCTACATCAAGGATCTAGATAAAGAAGAACAAAATAACCCCAAAGCAAGCAGAAAGAAGGAAATAATTAAGAGCTAAAGTCAATGGAATTAAAATATGAAAACAATAGAGAAAATTAAATGAAATAAAAATTTTTTTCTTTGGGGAAAAAAATCAATAAATAAAATTGACAAACCTTTAGCAAGACTGGTAAAAATAAAAACAGATAAGATGAATCATCAATATCAGTAATGAAATATGGGATATCACTATAGATTCTGCAGTCATTAAAATTTTTAAGAGGACAGAAATCCCATGTATATTTTACACAACCCCAGCCCCATGTTAACATTTTGTGAAACTATAGTATAGTATCACCACCAGGACACTGCCATTGATACAATCCACTGATTTTATTTATATTTCTCCATTTTTATTTGTACTTGTGTGTATGTATATGTATTTAATTCTATACAATCTTCAATTAGAAATTATTGGGGACCCTAAAGAATTTTTTCTATATTTACTGTACTAGCAAAAAAAGTTAAATACAAAAATACACAAGCACACATTCAATTAGTTACCAGAACAATTACATCATTACCTATTATGTAACTTCTAAAACACTTCATTGTACACTTATGAGAGGGTGAGAATGAAAAAGAAAAATGACATCTTAGTATTATTATCAATATAATTTTGACCTTTTAGTCTAACAAAATGTTCTTAGATATAGGACAACAAACTCATCCTGGTTTTCCTGGGGCTTTTCTGGTTTAAGCACTGAGAGTCCTAGCAAACCAGTATGATTTGCCTGAGACTTATCTGGTATTAAAATGTAAAGTCCCATATCCAAAGGACCCCTAAGTTCTGCAAAAACTGGATTGGTTGTTCTCCGTACTCAAGGGCTTTTGTGGGTCCCCGGATGGCATTTTAAGAACCTCTGTTCAAGGCCATCCTTACACAGAAGAAATTCCCAGTTCAGTGCTATCACCTCACCGTCACATAGGATTTGAGTATCTTCACATAAAAAATTGTTAAAAATTCCCCTACCCCATGCCAATTGCTTGCTCAACTTTCCTGTATGGTTTCTTTTACCTTCTCCTCTTCACCTCGGATTCTGCAAAAAAGATGTCATTGAAAGTGCTTTGTAATGAAAAAGTATCATGAGAATATGAGTGTGTACTATTACCTTTTTGATGATTATCTTTTCAGGTCAAGTTAGTGTGGTGCAAGTGACCATCCCAAACAGTGTCGTGAATGTGACTGTTGGATCTGATGCCACTCTCATCTGCACCTACACCAGCACTGTGGCCTCCCGGGACAATCTTTCCATCCAGTGGTCACTCTCCAATAAGAAGGAGTCACGGCCAATTACTGTAAGAACTTTATTCCTAAACTATTCCCCTTTGGTAGTTCTGACATAAACCATTGAAGTCAGTGTGTGAAGGAATGGTGAACCAGTGCCAACAGTGGCAAAACATCAGATACAAAGAATTTGAAAGTATCAGTTTAGGGAATACCATCATGTAAGTTACTTAGCCTTTGTCCTCTCTTCATATTCAGTTATAACCTGTTATCTCAATTCTGTTTAAGTCAACATCAAGTATATCAGATATTCCAGAGTAGACAGGAATGGTCCTTCTTAGTGGTGAAATAAGCAGTTCTGAAGGGTTTCCTTCCCCCTGCCAAAAATCTTCCTCACTGTTATTTCCAGAAGACCCTAGTTCAAATTCATGTACTAATTGATCTGTAGATCTCTGTCAAACTTAATATCTGGGATCTGCCTGTCAAGTGAGCTAGCTCATTGAGGCAGACTGAGTCCTGGTGGAATGAGAATCCCAGATGGATGGAGAAGGGGCCAAGGTAGTGATAAACTCTGGTAATCAAAGGAAGCATGAAGCTAGAGGATAGAGGATAGGAAGGGTAGGCTAGAGTCTTAGTGAAGAGGTTGTCAGAGTAGGGTATATGAAAGTCAAATGAGGAGAATCATTCTACCAGCAAGCTGCTTATTCCCAGGTTTTCCCCATCTGACCTAAAGGGTAATTGCATCTTTAAATTAGCCCAAGGACTAAAATCGTATACTCAAATTGTGTGTGTGTGTGTGTGTGTGTGTGCATTAGTGTACAAACACATATGCCGACACATATCCCTTGAGGGAAAAGGTCCATAGCTTTCATCAGATTTTCAAAATGATGTATGATCCAAAACAAGGAATTCAGAGAAGAGACAAATCAATGTGGTTTGGAATAGCTGGATGTAGTTAAATTGGGCCTTGAAGGAAAGGAAGGGTTTTGATTAGTAGAAAGATAGGAGAACCACTTGAGTGGGCTGGAGGAGGCACAGGACAGAGGTGAAGAACAAGAAGGATGTTAGCTTGGAGAAGCTACACCTTGGCCAGGGTTGCTTCAGCCATTACTAGTCATTTGGAGGTGCTGAGTTATCTTTTCACCAGAGGCCCTGAACACTTGTTTAGCAGAAAGCACCATTCTAGAGGAGAGTTCATCAGTTCCACCCTCTAGTCAAAGTTCAATAATTTTGCTCAGTAATGGTTACCTTAGACAAGTATCTGAATCACTCTGTGCCTCTCTTAAAATATGGTAGAACAGTAATACTTTTCTAATTTGTCTCATGGGGAATCAACAGACATAATTTATGTAAAAATACTTGAAAAATAATATAAAGTACTGTAAGTTTTCACCCTTGTAAACACTATTATCAACATCATCATCATAAGCAGCAGCAGCAGTAAGTCCACCAGTTTCCATCATCCAAAATGTCCTGACCCAAGATATCACATGTTGCATGTGATAAGAAGGCTGATCTCTTAGATTATGATGACAGTAATCACATGATGTTTCTTCCTTTTAAAAATTTACATTCCTAACTAGTCTTTTCAGCATATATTTTCTCTGTAGGCGTAAAGTCCTTCTCATTTTGCCAGTAGGGGCTGAATTCAGACAGGCCATACCAATGTACTTTGAATACTTTTTTTATGCTTGATCCTCAAATCAAGATGTACTCAGCTGCCTGGAGGTCAGGCCAGGCCGGTCTGAATTCAAAAACATAAATTCTTCTGTATGCCTCTTCTGACACGGAATTTACAAGATTACCTCTTGGTTGAATTATATGGCTGGTGAGGAGCTCAGAGATGCAGGGTTAGAGAATCTTATGGCCAATGAGTTTTCTCTAGACCTGGAAATGCAGAGGAAGAAGGTTTAGGTTATTGAACTGAGTGTGACTTGAGCCAGGACATCTCTTAGAGCAGCTTTAGAAAGAAAATCTATTAACAAATAAGTATTCAGTAGCTTATTTACTTGCTGTTTACCTCATTCTTCAAAATGTCAGGTATAGGCAGGGCAAGTAATTTAAGTTATCTACTCTTTTAGGATGTCCAAATCAAAGGGGGCCTTTTGCACTGAACCACTTGATGAATGGGAACATGCTCCTTGATCATAAAACATTCTAGATGTTTCTTGAAGAACATGAGACCTGTGCTATTTTTGTGCCTTAACCACATGGAAGACAAGGTGGAGTAGGGCCAGCTTTTGGCTCAGAGACAGTGAAAATCACCTCCCAAAAAGCAGGCTTTCTCTTACTCCTCCTTGCCCCAGCAAGATCCCCATGATAATCATCCTTAAGTCTCTACATCTAGAGAACTTGAGTCTCTTCCCATTTTCCTCCAGGAATGTTCTTCTCTCTGCTTTTCCAGATGAGTACTTTTTGAGCCCCAGTAGAAACCTCCTTATGGATATCAGTTCTACTCCTTGTCCTTTACTTAATTGCTGGCTAGATAACCTTAGACAAGTCACTTGACCTTTCAGAGGTTCACTTTTCCCATCTGTAAAATGGGGTTACTTACCTACCTCATAGGTTTACTGTGAAGATTTTTTTTAATTTTTAAGTTTTTATTAAATTTAAAAGGTAACATTGGTTAAGAGGATCATATAGGTTTCAGGCATAGATTTCTATGATACAAGGTCTGTATATTGCACTGTGTGCCCACAACTCAAAGGCAAATCATCGTCTATCACCGTATATTAGGTGCCCTTCAACCCTCAAGCCCCCACCTCTTCCCTTTAGCAACCACCACACTGCTGTTTGTGTCCACAATTTTCAGTTTTATATCCCACATATGAGTGAAATCATATGGTTCTTAGCTTTTTCTGACTGACTTATTTCACATAGCATAATATTCTCAAGGTCCATCCATGTTGTTACAAATGGCAGTATTTCATCCTTTCTTATGGCTGAGTAGTATTCCAATGTGTACATGTACCACATCTTCTTTATCCAGTCCTGTATCACAGGACACTTTGGTTGTCTCCATGTCTTGGCCACTGTGAATAATGCTGCAAGATTTAATGAGATGATGCTTGTGAAGCACTAGGAAGCTTTCCATATAGTAACCATTCAATGAATGTGAGTTATTATTATTAGCAGCACTACTCACAAAATGGTGATTTTGCAAAATTTCTGTCCCATCCGTACCTCTGGGTCATGGGCACTAGAGAACCCAGTCCAATAATATACACTTAGTATAGCTGGACAGCTGGGATGGAACTCTTAGGGGAATCCTGGGTCAGATTTGGTTTCCAGTTCTGCTGACTTCCAGGTCCCTATGACTAAAGGGAGGGGTCAAGCCCCTTCTCTGCTTGCTCCTTATCCTTGAACAGAGACCCCACTGAACAAAGAGGTAGCAGATATCTTACCTTGAGATGGTATTTTCCAAAATAAAATTTGGCTTCTATTTCAAATTTGCTTCCTCTTTGAGCATTTCCATGCATTCAGAATTCTGTAGAACATGTATGTTAATATAGGAATGGCTGGTTGGACTTTTGGAGGATGATAAAAGGAGACTGCTATGCTATTAGACAATTCTGTGATTTATGGGAGTAAGATATTGCCAGACTGACCACTGAGTGATGCAGTTCAACTCCTGGGTTAATGTACCGGTATACCATTTAGCATTCAGCTCTCAGATCCACTCATTTCTGCTCAAACACAGCACAGCCCGTGCCTCAATACTGAGGGTATGGAGAAAAAGGCAGTCAGTCAGTGTCTAAAAATGGCGCATGCAAGAGACGCTCGGGGAAGATGTAGCTGGACCTCTCAGGTAAGAACACCTATTGGTGTACTACGGGACCCCTTCATTGTTTGGAGTCTCTAAGGCAATGACACTAGCTTTTAGGAGTGGGAAGGGAGGGCCTGAGTTTGGTAACAGTCCAGATCAGCATAAACCCCTGCAAAACTGAAACAGCCTTGAGTTTGCCTTCTCATGCCCATGTCTGGGATTCTTTTTAGCCTCCTCCAAAAGGCTCAGGGCCTTATTGCTGCCCTAGTTAGCAAGGCAGTGACCAACTCTTGCCATAGGCTCATATTCTTCTCCCCTCCTCCCAAACCATTGTGTTATAAAGGAGCAGTTGACTTCAAGACATAGTGTTTCTCAATACCCAGGGGAAAATGTTATCTCTTACTATCTCCTCCAAGGGGTTCCTTTGGTAAGTGGGGTATACAGACGTATCCCACAAGTCTTCTGACCAGGAAGGCCAAGATGTTCATTAGCATGGTCCTCCTCTTAGAGAAGTCCTCCGCTTGGAAGACAGGGACAGCTTCAGTTGATCACCACCTCAGCAGGGACTCTTACCTGAAGACTCTAGGTCCCAGAACAGGTAGGCTAGCATGGGAGTTTCGGATGGTCTGGTGCCCGTCTGATCACAACAGTGGTCTCCTCTTCCACCCAGCCAGTCACCTGTAAAACTTCAGAGACCTCAGCTGCCTATGAACAGAGCAGGCATTGATTCCACTTAGCATGGATCTCTCAGACAATACTTACTCTTCTAAAATATCCATAGTGGAAGAAACCCTTTGCCATTCTCATCTCCCCAACACACATAGAGTGTGGGCAACTTCTTTCCAGAACCTAGTGTGTTCACATTCTCTGGCTGCTCAGATTCTCCCAACTTGTCCTGTTCTCTACAGATAGCATTATATAAAATGCTTTTCAAATGTTAGCATTTGAAAATGAGGATGGAGGTGTTGGTTTAATTGTTATAAATGAGAGCCAATACTAGGATTTGGTGGGTGGTGCCTAGAGATATGTTTTGCAATACATAGGATATATTCACATAAGAAAGAATTGTCTGTCCAAAGTGCCAGTGTAACACTCATTGAGAAACTCTCCAAGTTCTTCCCTTCTATGGCTCACTCAATTTATGAACAGTGCAGGAAAGCAAGAAGCTGAAAAGGAAAGAATAGATGGTTTGCTGTGGACTTCTGTGTCTTCCACATTTCCAAAAGGAACCCACAAAAATCAGCTCTAGATGCTAAGCACGTTTATTAACAGCAACTCAGACTCAAACAGAAAGCAGATTGAATTCTTTCAACCCTCTTGTTTATACTCCAGCCTCTACTAAGAGAGCTGTATTACAAAGCTGAGAAAAAATCTTTTTGGACAAATCTGGCTCTTAGCTGCATGTCTTCATGTGAATAGGAACTTGGCACAGTAGGAAGGAAAAGGCTGTTATTGCAGCTGGCAGACATTGAAGGCATCTTGTGGTGAACCTACTGGGCATGGGAAGAAGCATCATGCCAATGAATAGTAGCAATTGGCAGAAGAAGGGTCAGGCTGGAGTAGGGGATGGAATGGCCCCAAAAGGATAAGGTTGCTTGGGAATCATCTTCCTTGCCTAAGTCAGGACTGTAAATGCCATTTCAATATACTTAGTGGAAATCAGGAGGTCTAAATTCCAGGTCTGACTCTAAACTGTATGACCTTGGGAAAATCACTTCCTGGAAGGGTTTCGGTGTCCTTTTCTGTAATATAAGAGGATGAGTCAGAGGTTGCAAACTGGAGGACTCTGGGCCTGATTTGGCCAGTGGATGCATGTTGGTGACCAGCCTGGTATTTTGTTTCTTTCCACACTTTGAAAGCCTAGTTTGTATTGGATCCCCAGTTCACTGCAGGCCCCACTATTCTTTCTGATCTTACCACTATCCACCAGCCCCTCCCAGCCATCTACTATATTTCTCATATCCATCTGGCTCCAAAAGGCTCCTCAACCTTAGAAACCATGACTAAGTGATCTCTCAGAGGTCTTATAACAAATATGATATTATTATTATTTCACTTGCAGCCTCTAACATCACCAGTGGATGGACAGAGAAGACCCTGGGGGGAAAGTAAGGAAGTCTGCCATAAACACAACCACAAAGAGCAAGTGGGCATAAAATTAACAAACACCACTTAAGAAATCACTTCGATGGATTTTCTTAAAGCAGACACCCCCTACCCCTTTCTACCAAGGACATAGCTTGTTAAACCTCCATGGCTTTTCCTGGACCTCAATTGCTTTGATCTCTAAATTGCCCATATACTTTTTTTGAAAAGTGTATAAGCCACACAGGGTCATGGCCAGGCCTTGATCATTATTTAACTTTGATTTTTAAAATATATTTTTATTGATTTCAGAGAGAGGAAAGGAGAAGGAGAGAGAGAGATAGAAACATCAACGATGAGAGAGTCATTGATCGAGCCCGCAACCCGGGCATGTGCCCTGCCCGGGAATTGAACCCCGCTCACCTGGATCCTAGGTCGATGCTCAACCACTGAGCCACGCCCGGCCAGGCAACTTTGATTTTTAAAAGAGTTATTCTTTTGTGGAAAATGGAATCAAGTTGCAGTCCTTCCTGCATGATTAGATAAGCAGTTTCAGGAAAACATTTTATTTTTTTCTTTATAAGGACAGTGTGACAGTGGACTTCCCCTAACAGAAAGTTCCTCTATCTGTCTGGCCACTGGCCAGCCCTGGGCACTTTCCTTCTTACACAGCACCCTGAGGCCAAGGCCTTTCCCTTTTAGGTCTCCATTGTTCTCTCTACTTACCCTATCTTATCCCTAACACTATTTAGAATTATTTGTGAGAGGGAAAAGTGTAAACTACAGTGTGAGGAGCTAGAGTAGAAGGGTTGGTGAAGGTCCTTTTCATAGGGAAGTTACAAGTTCAGGACCTCATGATTATTTGATCATTTCACCTTGATTCATGCCCAACTGTGACTTTCACAGTGACTTCTTTTCATGTCCTAGTCTTGGCATAAAACACACTCTCTAGGCCCCCTGATCTCTGCAGAAACAAGGTCCTTTCACCTATGTCCTCTGAGACTTATTGTGGGTCATAGGCAAAATGATGTCATAACTCATTGTGATGTCTTCAAACCTCAGTATAAAACAGGCTGCCCTACCCCCAGCCTTCCTGAGAGCAGGGGAATCGGCCAGATGTTGAAGTTGTAAAGGGCTTCCTTGATGGACTGCAGGCTGTGTTCCAGGTATGAGTCCACAGGATCACAAATTGTTGATTAGGAAGTAAATGAGCCCAATGCTAGCTAGTGGAATGGAAAGCTGGATATCTTGGGTATCAACTCAAGAGAATAGACAATTGACTAGTTGAACTTCCTCCTGGTCCACTTGAATACCTTAACACTGGCTTTCTGATTTGTCAGCAAAACAGGGCCCCTCTGGGGCAAAAGTTAGTAATTTCTGTAGGTGGAAATGAATGAATTGAGTTATAAACTACTCATCTAGGGCAGGAAAGAAAGCTAGTTGATGTTAGAGAACTGGAGGAGAGGGACAAGTTGTTATTTCTTTAAATATGCTTTTTCCTTTGATTCTTCCCTCAGAATCTACCTTTCTGCCTTAGTTTAAAAATATATTGGCTTTCTGCTTGAAGGACAATGCTTTTGAATTTATCTAGACAATATATTTCGGTTTGCTGATTACCTTCCCTCTCTTATTAGTCTATTAAGATAAGGAGCACTGGAACAAGGAATTAGAAGAATTGGGTTCTAGAACTGTCCCAACTGTAAACTTCTCTGTGCTTCAGTTTCTACTATAATGTGAGAAGAGTGAATTAAATGAACCATAAGGCTCTTCAAGTAGATTTTATGAAAATATTAATTAGTTCCACTGGACTAGGGCAGTAACCGTTTATTGAATAATAAACAAATATCATTTCAATTACACACATTTGTATGAAACTAACAAAGTGTGTACATAGACTGTATATTATGAAGAAACCTCAGGGATTAGTGATTTCAAAGCTTCAGTCATTCATATCTCTTTATTATTTTTGTCATATTTGTGCACACATGCAGTATTATTGAATGTTTTCTATACTGACTTGATTTCTTAAAATTTTTAAAATATCTTAGTTTCACCCTAAGCAATAATATTCATGAAATTACAGATTTGATGTGCTAGATATGTCTCTAATAAGTTTTCACTTATGTAACACCTAAAATCAACTTATGTGCTTATACTTGGGGAATACATATCGTACTTAGGAGAACATTGCTCTGGTTCCTCATTCGGATGTTGAAACTAAAGGTTGGAAAGATCAAAAAATTTTGTTTCTTATCACAAAGGAAGTTGCCATGGAGACATGACCGGAGACCACCTCCCCTGACATTGTCATAAAGGCAAAGCTGTAGCTAAAACCCAGGCCTCTTTCCACCTCACCATGCTGCTCCCACAGTTGCCATTATGATGTAAATATCTATGTTCTTGAATAAAGATGGGACTAGAATCCAGATCTTTCTTAAGTGTACTGAATTATAATAATAAAAATCCTGTGTTCTTGGATGAGTCATTTAATCTCTCTGGGTTTAAATGCCCTTATTGAAATAATAATTCCAGTTCTGCTTCTTGCCACATGGGGAGAAAGGTAGTAGCTCCATTGACTAAGCAATTTCAAGGCTCTTTTCTGAATTATTTTGTTCCACCCTCACACCACCATTATGAGGAAATAGGACCAGATGATTTCTCAGGGGACTTTCTGCTCTGAAATGTTATTCTAACAGGGTGAACCCAAATTTGCTTATTCAAAGGAGTATGTGTGTATGAAAGGAGTATGAATATTCTAACTTTCAGGGAAACTGGATATTCCAGATAGTCCCACTGAGTAAAATAAACCCAATTTTTAAAAAAGCTTATAAAGTGATGGTGGGAGGATGATGGTTTTGGATTTCTCATCAGGCATTTGTGTTCTAGACGAGCTTCACCCAAGTAGACTCATCAGGTGAGCTTCTTGATCTCCTAACCTAAGCTTAAGAGTTGAATCCTGTCAGCTCCAACTGTCTACTGTCTAAGACAGGCATACCTCCCTGTCCTGATGATATCACAAAGCTGCTTTGAACACAAGTGAGGTAATGGCTGTGCAAAGCTGTGAGAAAGGTAAAGTGCCCCACTGAGTTGAAAAACTTTTGCCATAGGGACCTGTTCCCTGCCAGGGGTAAAATGCTACTGCATATCAAAGAAGATAACCTTGGATAGAGGGAGTTCCCACGTGGTTTATCCTAGCTCTGGACACTCTACAGTTCTCATTTCTCTCATTTTTCTGTCCTAGATTTACTATTCTGAAGGTGGACAAGCTGCATCCATCGGGCGATTTAAAGATCGAATTGTAGTGTCCAACGAGCCAGATAACGCATCCATCACTATTTTGCATATGCAACCAGCAGACAGTGGCACCTACACCTGCGATGTTAACAATCCCCCAGATTTTAGTGGCAACAATCAAGGCATTCTTACAGTCAATGTGTTAGGTATGGACAATTTTTTATGCCTTTTTTTGGAGCAACTTAGGACATTGCATAAGCCGGGGTATGGGTTATGGTGCCAATTAAGTCCCAGGGATAAATATTCTTCCTGCTCCTTTGATTACCAGGGAGCTATAGACACCTTCTGTAATCCAACCCATAAGAAATCACTCATAAAACATGTTGAAATAATTGCCAAACCAAAAGGGCTGCCAAAATGACAGACATCAGTAGATGACCCAACCTTCAGGGATCCCTGTCTCTGAAGGATAAAATGAGAACAGATGGGACAATGCACAGTCCCACTAAATGATCATTAGCAACTCTTTCATAGGGAACCTCCAATTACAGGCAGTCGTACCTGGGGGAGACAACTGTCAATTTATTACCTCTCCTAAGCCAGCCAAAGTTTCTACCATTAAACCATTTTGAATAAAGGCAGGCAGGTCCCTTTTAAAAAATATTAACACTATTCAGATTGTTTTTCTAGATTCCACATATAAGTGAAATAATATGGTATTTGTCCCTCTTCATCTGACTTATTCCACTTAGTGAAATACCCTCTATGTCTATCTATGTTGTTGCAAATGGCAAGCCTTCACTCTTTTTTATTGCTAAGTAATATTCCATTGTGTGTATATACAGCACATCTTCTTTATCTGTTCATCTATTGATGGACCAAAACAAGAATAGATCCATAGGTACAAACAACAAACTCTTGGTTGCCAGAGAGGAGGGGGTGAGTGTGGGTAAAAAAGGTAAATAGAGAATAAGAGGTACGAAATTCTAGTTATAAAATGAATAAGCTATGGATATACAGTGTACAGCACAGGGAATATCATCAATAATATTGTAATAACTTGGCATGATGACAAATAGTTGGTTACTACATTTAGTGTGGTGATTGCATCATAAGGTATATACATATCAAACAATTATATTATATTAAAGGAGCAGGGAGGATATTTACAGACAGGAAATGAATATACTATTGTATACTAACTATACTTTAATAAAAAATTTAAAGGTTAACACTATTTAGAAAAAGGACCACATATTAAGCCAGAGTTGAGAATGAATTTATTTATATACAAATATGCATTATATGATACTGGGCAAGTCATCCATTCTTCAAATGAATTCGGAGTGGTTCATTTATGCAGTTTTTATTGAGTGCCTACTTTGTGCTAAGAGCCATAAGGTTTACAGTATTGAAGGCATGGTTATAGCTCTTGGGAAGTTCACAATTTTGGAGATTTCTAGGGCTCCTTTCAACCTCTGTTTGAGAAGACAATGGGAGTTTTGCTCCTGTCTTTTAGCCAGCAGGTCCTGTGTGCAGGTCTGCAGAAGTACTGAAGACGAGGATGAAAGGGCTGTAAACCCTCACCAACTAACCAGTTAAACTAAGGGAATTCCCACTTCTAAGTAACCCCAAATGGAGCTGATGTAGTTATTGTTCTTCTGGAGCTGAGTACATCCATCACAGGAAAGGAGGAACTAGATCAAACCAGTAACTTGATAATTGAGTACTTGGAAAAGCTGCAATTGGTAACAAGGTGAACAGCTAGGAGAAATGTCCAGAGTTGTCTGAGCTTGTCACTCAGGTAATGCCAAAAATGTACCATGTATTTACTGTGATGTTTGCTACTTCATCTACACACCTGGTAATCAAGAGCTGATTTTTAAGAGTCGCATAGCTCAATCCTGTTTTTATTTCACTAGGCATTGGAGTACAAGGGAAGACAAGAGAAGTATACAAAAACCCTTTCTTAGGGAAGATGATGTTCCAGTTCAGAAGATTAGCCATTTACATGGAAACTAAAGTCTAGTAATAGGTGATAGCACGTCAGGCTCTGAGTCAGAAGAACCTAGGCTCTAGCTTTTACTTGGCTACTTGATGGCCTCAGGCAAGTCAGTCCACCTTGTCCTGGCCATTTTGAGATGGAGTTATAACTCCTGTTCTGTCTTTACAAGTTTACTATGAGGATTAAATGATTGCTGTCCATGTTTAAAGAATTTGAGGGATTAGTCCTCTAATGGTTTTCTGTTGCTCCCTGGTTCTGGGTTGTCCTTCTGACCAGAAACAACCTAAAGAAGCCAAGCCTCTTTGACTCTTAGCTTGGAAACAGTCCTGAGATAGTTAGACAGAAAGGTTAGTATTCTTAAATTTAAAGTTCAGAGAATCCCTAATCAACTGCCATAAGAAGCTCCAAGTTGTTCTTACCCATGAGTCTTTAGGTCAGTTGTTCCTGCAATGACTGTGTCATGACTTTTACTTAAGCATCCAGGATCCAGGAAAGGTAAGAGGTAAAAGGGTCTGTGGATTTCTTTGTTTGTTTGGGAACTCTCAAAAATTTTATTTTTTATTAATTGGACTCAGAACAAAAGGATTCTACAAGTTAATGTTTTTGGAAATTTTGAAACTGATAATTTTCTCTAAAAATTGCAGAGGCTGTTTACAGTTCTCAAATTCCACTGTGTGTGAGTGCCTGTAATGCTTACCCTGACTGAGGGATGGGGCATGGTGAGGGCAGTCCAATGGTGGGAAGAATGCCAATATTTCCTTAAACATCGCTCTTCTTAGCAGTGCATCTTTTAGACACATTTTATTACCCAGTGATGAACATTGATTGATCCCATGCATTTACTTGTTCATGCATAAATTTATTTGACAAACCCTGAGCACATGTAGCTACTGTGCTAGGCAATGGTAATGGAAAGATGTAAAAGATAGGGGAGGCAGACATATAACTTATAACTAGTGAAGGAGGCAGATATATAACTTAAAAACTTTCAGTGAAGGTAGGAGAGGAGATCTGAGAGACAGAGGGGAAAGACCTAAAAGCTGTCTGGGGAAACTGAAGAAGGCTTTCTGGATAAAGTGAATTTTGCACTGAATGTTGAAGGATGTGCAAGTGTGTGTAAGGTAGAAAAGGGGCTGAGGTATCAGGACATGATTTAGGTGAAGAAAACAGCAATGAGCAAAGGCCCAGGTGGTTTGGACAACCATTCATTTGGGAAACTTCCATTAGGTATGATAGCCTTGGAAAACGAATTGCTGAAAAATATCCAGCAGAAGTTGGAATAGTTATTTTGTATGCAGTTGGAATGAACATCATCTTCCTTATGCAATTTGGCATATAAAAAGAAAATGATGAATTTAGAGGAGGTTTGCGAGCACTCTGAAGCATTTTCTTTTATTTTCTGAAGTGAGCCTCTTCCTCCCACCCCAATGCTGTTGAAAGCAATAAAGTTAAATAGTAGATCAATGGCTTTGGTAGTAAACATCTAAGTTCTACTACAGATTTTAACTGGAGGAAGTGCCAATTCAATTGTGATGCAGTAGTTTTTGAAAATATGTAGGTTTGGGACATGGTTCAAAATGATTCACTAAGTTTTTTATTAATAAAAATTAAAGGAGAAAAATGTGTTGAGCAAAAAATGAATTAAATGCCTATCTAGATTTTATTCTGGGCTCAAGAAATGAATACAAGTCATTGAGGTTTCTGTCTATCATTTAGTTCAAGTCCTGGTGTCTGACTCTATGATAAAACACCCCATTTAATTTTCTGTTCAGCTTGCTCTATTCTGCTGTAAAGGCTATCCAATCACCGTGTTTTAAAAAATGTGGTATCTAAATCTAGTGATAGTTGCAATGGACTTCTGGTTAAATAGTCTTGTTTAGGGTAGGCATATCCAATGAGTTGTCCCTATCTGAGAAAATCAGTGGAAAGGAAGAGAGAATGAAGAGGTAAATAGAAAAATGCTTCTCGCCCGGCCAGGCATGGCTCAGCGGTTGAGCATCGACCTAGGATCCAAGCGATCGGGGTTCGATTCCCGGTCAGGGCACATGCTCGGGTTGCGGGCTCGATCAATGACTCTCTCATCGTTGATGTTTCTATCTCTCTCTCCTTTCCTTTCTCTGAAGTCAATAAATATATATTTTAAAAAAGAAAAGAAAAATACTTCTCTTAATTAAAAATCACCCGTTTAAAAGATATCGATGGTGAAGTGTTTCAAAGAGCTACAGCTATATCCATGTTTACTTGTTCATGTGTACAGTGGGTTAGAATCTAAGATTGGAAGGTTAACTTCAGTAGCAAACTATAAAATGTGGCAGCAGGAATTAGTCCTGCCTATGGCCAACAGCAATTCCATGTGCAAGGCTCTATAAAGAAGATTTTATTTATAGGAATACAATATATTTGGATTAGCTGGAACTCAGATAATCTCTTGTTCACATTTTACAGATGGATCAAGTGAGGTTTGGCTACATTAAGTTACTTGCCTAAACACATCTAGGGTAAAGTTGCAGAGCCAGTATTCTGTGTAGATCCAGAGCTATGTCCTTAACCGCTACCTTTCAAGCAAGAGTGGAGAGCTTGGAAGTCTGGAGCGTTTAAGGTCTGACTAGCTTAAGTTAGAGAACCTACGTCTTTGGAGGATTTTAAGTCCAAATTAAGATAAGGAAGGTGAGTTAGAAAGTATCGACATTCAGGTCCTTATCTTTCTGTCAGACTAAGGTTAGAAAAAGCTGTGAGCTATAAGATGAGTGAGGAGGTTCAGATTATCAGTTTCCCACAGGACTTCTTTGCTGAGGTGTTTTATAAGCAGCTAAAATTCAGTGTGTCCCAAACTGACCTTATCCTCACCCTTTCCTCCTCCTCACTCTTTCCCCCAAAACCTGCTCCTCCTCCTGCATTCTTTATCTCAGGGGATAATGGCAAGCTCACGTATCCAGCTATTCAAATCAGAAACCTGGGAGTCATCACTTACCCCACCTTCTTCCACACGCCCGATATCCACTTGCTCATCAGGTCCTGTTGACTTGTTAGTACCTCTTGAATTTGTCTCCTCCTCTCTCTTGGTTCAGGCACCCAAGAGTCAGAGTGATTCAGGTGAAGTGTTAAAATGACCATCATCCCTCCCCTTAAATTCCTTCTGTGATCCTCCTGCTCTCAGTATAAAATACATGAAATACAAAGCCTTCCTCTTCCATCACTCCCCCCACCCCACTTCAGAACTGTGAACTGTGTCAAAAAGCCCTCAAATATTTGCTTGTAGAGTGAAAAATGAATAAAGATTTCAACGTTCTGTCTGTAGCACCACCCCCAACAAATTGGCTTCCCCTGCCAATGAGTGACACAGGCAAATTCAAACCCTCCAGCCATTTTGTGCCACCCCTAGAAGAATAAATGCCAAAAATAACTCACAAAGGAAAAGGAAAAAGAAAAATATGGCATTAATATAAAATTTTTCTAAAATAACAGATCATCTCAAAGTATTTAAGGGTTATATTTTCCTTTAAAACTGTGCTTCAAGAGTATATACTATACTCCTAGTTGTTTAGTGTTTGCTTACATTTGTTTGTTTTAATAAAGCCGTATTTTAAGACACAATGTGGAAATTCATGGTTATGGATCTGGGGAGGAGGCAGGTGGGGGAGATACTATTAGATTCTTAGTAGCTTGGTGACTAAAAGGTCCTTGCATCTGAAGTGCTCTGCTCCCACCTGGTGGTACAAATAGAAAACTGTTAAAATAAGTTTTAAAGACTTAAAAAAAAAAAAAAAAGCAGCTGTTCCACAAAATGAAAGTGAGGAAGTGACTGCAACTGTTACAGACTGACATTAATCCAACAGTATTTTTACTGTTTATCATTGCTTTACAGTCAAACCTTCTAAGCCCTTTTGTAGCATTCAAGGAACAGCAGAAACTGGCCGACCTCTATCTCTTTCTTGCCACTCGGTGCTTGGAACACCTTCTCCTGTGTACCACTGGTATAAACTTGAAGGAAGAAACACCATCCCAGTGAAAGAAAACTTCAGTAAGTATAGCCCTCAGCAGCCCCTGGCAAGGTATGGTATGTGTGGTGGCTGACAGCATGTTTGTGTGACTGGCTGTTCATTTTAGAAATCAATCTTCTATTTTTCTGGGAGGGGTGTGTAAAATGAATGTCTGTCTCCTGACAAGGTGATTGTGGTTTGGTCTTATCCCCAGCTTCTAGAAGTCAAGCCTGGTTTTGGCTCAGAGGTGGGGGGTATGGAGACAATGGTGTGGTCCCAACAGGACTACCTTTGGAATAGTTTCAAGGGGTCTAGTTGGACCCTGCACACTTCAAGAAAGGGAGGCCAATGTGAGGAAGTGTGTAGGCATTGAATGATCTGTTACATTGACATGATCTTTACCCACTTAAGAGATTTCAAAAGTCTCTTTCCTGGTTTTGACAGACCCAGCCACTGGGACTTTGGTTATTGGAAACCTGACCAATTTTGAACAAGGTTATTACCAGTGCACCGCAATCAACATCCTTGGCAATAGCTCCTGTGAAATCGATCTAACTGTTTCACGTGAGTTGATCATACAACTTTAACAGTTTCTCCTTAAGTCAAGTATCCTGGGCCTGCCAATCAAGTAAGTTAATTAGTCCTGGTTAGTCCTTCCTGCTTCTCTGGAGGTTTTGGTGCTTTATAGGTTAATATGATGAATTACCATTCTAATATCTATTGCTTACACAATACTTAATGTGCTGCACACCGCCCTAAAATGTTTATAAAAATAAATTTGTTTAACCCTCACAAAATCTCTAGAAAGTAGGAATTACTATTTAATAAATAAAACAATAGCCACATTGATAATACCAGGCTAAATTTCCTTTGTTAGGCTGTTAGTAAATCCAGGTGAAACTGTATCAATCTATGTCAAACATGGAGCTCACAAACTTTCCAATTCTTAACTATTTTATTAAGATCTGCCTCTAATAATAACAGTAATAACACTTGCACCTACAGTCACATTAACTAATATTTGTGGAGCACAAATTATGCACCAGGCACTCAGTCAGGTATTGTGAACATGATCTCACTCAGTCCTCCACCTTTTCTAGGAGGCAGACTATATTGTTAGCTTTATTTTACTGAAAGGACTGAAGTTCAGGAAGGTAAGTGACATGCCCAAGGTCATCCAGTTAGTAACTGGCATTGCCAGGATACCTCTAAACCTCAACCTTCCAGTTCAAAGGTTCTTAGTTACTAAGCATAGACTTGAGGGGCCTGGAATTGTCAAATTGGATCAGTCAGGGGCGAGTTCCCATAGGGGATATTTTGCTATACCTCTCAAAGATCACTGAACACTTAGGATCATGTCATCTATTCATTTTTTTCTAACTTACTTAGAATCTGTGGTTTTGATTATATACAATATACAGGTGGCCAGTTTCATTACTCTCCTATGAAGCTGAGCTTTCTTCCTTTTATTTGTCCTGATCCAAACATTTTCCAACCCAGGCTATACCTTCATTCTTCTATCACTTTCAGCTATTTTTATTCAAAGTGAAGAAACTTCACCTTTTTGGTCTGTCCTTTCTGTGGTCCCATTCTGTCGCCAGTCCCTTGATCCATTTCTGCTGTTTTTCTCTAGATCTTCCTCAGTACCATTTTGCTTTTCCAGAGGTACAGTCATATGGTAGATGTAGAGACTCCTAGAATTTGTACTTGAGCCTCACTTCCTTTTGAATCCTCTTTCTAGTGATGTTGGCATTTGGCATCCCCTTCTTCCCTCCCTCCCTTCCTGCCTTCCTGCCTTCCTGCCTTCCTCCCTGCCTTCTTCAAATATTCACTGAATATCTATTATATGCCCAGGACTGTCCTAGATGATAGAGAAACAGAGATTAATAAGGTATATATCTTACAATCAAGGAGCTCACAGTTTAGCTAGAGAGATGAACAAACACTAAAATGTGTTAAATGATATAATAGAGGTCTGCATGAGGTCTATAGGACATTAAAAAAGAAATAACTTGTTATGCTTATAGCACCAGGGCCAGCTTTACCAATGAAGTGCTATTTGAGCTGGATTTTGAAGGAACTTTCAAAGTGTGTTTCTTTATCTATAAAATAAGGATAAAGGTGAAAGGAGGTTGAAGGATGACAATAGAGCAGGAGAAGAGTCAGTTCATGCTGGGGGAGGAGAATGGAGGACTCCAGGAAGGATGTCTATGAGGAAAATAAAACAACAACATAAGAAACCTATAGATTATCTGATGTGTTTGAATCTATTGAAAGGAATTCAATAGTTTTACTGGAAATTTGGGGGATTAGAGATAATACATTTTTTTAAATCCCCAAATGAGGCAATATTAACCTCAGAAAAATTTTAAATGCTTTACAAGAGAGGATCATAATAATACTGTGTTCTGCAGCTGTGGACAATATTTACATAGTCATAATACTACAAACTTGGACTTAACTACAACTTGTGCTATAACTATATAAGGGGAATGTGGTGGTATATGAAGGGAATGGTGCAAGAGAGTTAAAACTTCAACTTCCAGAGTAGGAAGTCAATAGAAAATGACCAAAATTGGAAAAGGCAGGACATATTAGAACAAGCATAATAGAAACATGGGGGCAAATTTTAGAAGATTCAAAAAGAGTCAGAAGTGATTGTCTCTAGTGAATAGAACTCAGAGATGGGGGACTGGTGGTTTTTGTTTTTGTTGTTTTTTGTTAGAAGCCTAGTAAAACTGTTTGCCTTTCTAAATTATGCACATGTATTCCTTTAATCATAAAACATTGAAAGAATAACCCAGCAATTCAACTAGCCTTTAGTCTCAAAATATAAGATGTTCATTCTCATTTGAAGGGCTGTGGATGGGGATGAGCCTGCCTGGAACACAGGCATGGCCTCTTGGGGACAATACCTTAGTGATTTTAGGTCTCATGCTCAGCTGAATCATCTCACACGTTAAGTTTCACTATAGACTGATCAAATAAACCAATTTATGGAATGGGCATATCCCTCTCCAGTGGCCAGAATGCATGAGACTCCATAGTGAGCATAGAAACTGTGAGAATATTTTTAGGGAACTATTTGACCTATTCTCTGGGAAAACCTGGCAAAATGTCCCTGCCTGTAACAGAGGTTATTTCTCTGGTCACCAGAGTGCAGCTCCATGGTATCTCTTTCACTTACCAAGCAAATGCACACTGAAGACCCACTTCTCTAAACCCCATTTTGAAAATGACGCCAACTCCTCCAAATTGGCGTATTTTTTTCTTTATGTGTGTAAATATGAATGGGAAAGCTACATAGTTGACCCAGACATCTTTCTCCCCCTTCCCTCCCAGTCCAACTGGCAGAGTTCTAGGGGTTTCCATGCTCCCGGCCTATGCGAGTCTATTTCCCACTCTATGAATGCCCCAAATATTCCCCACTGGTCACAAAAGTACATGTCTAAGGCATATATTCCATCTTACTAATCAGCTGCTTATATTCTCCAGATCCAGAAGTTGGCATCATTGTTGGAGCGTTGGTGGGCACCCTAGTTGCTGCTGTCATTATCACCTCTGCAGTGTGCTTTGCAAGGAGCAAGGCAAAGGCAAAGGCAAAGGCAAAGGCAAAGGCAAAGGGGAAGGAAAGAAAGAGAAATTCTAGAACCACCACAGAACTTGAGTAAGACCTTAATTTGTTGTCTTTACTTGAATATAGACATTTCTCTGGCATATCTCTTTCAGTCAGCTCTTCCTAAGCACTCCTTTTAGCATAATATATCAGGGGTATCTCTCTGTTCATTCTCACTACTTTTATAAAAGAATCATGATGGGTACTGTTTACTGAGTGCTCTGTGCCAGACTGTTCTAAGTACTTTATATCAACATATTTAACCACAATAACCCTTTTAGGTCTAAGAAAATGATTTATTATATTAGTATACTTGTCTTTCTACCAACAGTCATAAAATATAATTTTCCATATTTTTTGAACAAGGCAAAAGTGCCTAGGGCCCACAGAAGTCAGAATGTGACTGTGCCCACTGCCCATACTCTTGACTACTGTACTATTTCTTCTTGAATGGGTATCACATTCATTCATTTGTTCATCCTGCCATTTCTGTGCTTCTACAACTATGTATTGGGCACCAACCAGATGCCAAGTATTGTGCTAGATGAAGTGGGAACTAGAGATGCACCTGAGCCATGGATTTGGCCCCCAAAGACCTAACCAGATATATAGATCCTTTCATCTTGATATGTTTTCCCACCTTTTAAACACTGGTTTTTCTGTCTTGAACTCTCATGATATTATTGAGACATAACCTTTCTGGACCCAAAATGGAGACACATGGTCTAAAAGTGAATCAGAATATCAGAAATCACAGAGGTCCTGAACAGACTGAGACCTATGGTCACTGAGGCTACACAGCCTGTGGCTCCACGTGAAATGTCAAATCCTAACTTGGTCTTCCCTGGGCCTTCTTCCTGCAGACCAATGACAAAGACAAACAGAGTTTCAGAGTTCGAGACAATGCCATCTGAAGACGTTATTCATCTAGAAGCGATGCAACCTTCCTTCAATGAAACTGAACCTGACACTATCCTGGGGCCAGGTCATGGGCCTATTCCCAAGCCTGAGCCTTCCCTGGAGCCTGCCCAGGAGCCTGCCCCAGGATTTGAGCCTGCTCCAGTGCCTGAGCTTGAGATCCAGCTTGAGCCCGAGCCCGAGCCCGAGCCAGAGCCCGAGCCCGAGCCTGAACCTGAGCCGGAGCCTGAGATTGTAGTTGAGCCCTTGTGTGATGAGGAAAAACCAGTGAATAAGTCATAGGCTGGTAGCCTAAGTAGTGTTTGTCACTAAGGAACCCATTTCTGGAGCTTAGAATTCAGTTGACCTAACCAATCCCCCACTGCTTCCCTCAATTCTGACCAACCCTCTTCTAACAAGGTGCTCCTACCATTAATCTAAAATAAACAGGTGAAGATAATTACTAAATAAATGGAAGGGTTCCTGCCTCACTGGTAAAGAGTACTTACAATTTTATTAATATGTAAGCATAACTAATGACAAAGGCAAGTGATTTCTAATTCAGTTGAAAGTGTTTTTGCAACAACACTTGTGTAGTGTTTCTGAAAATCTTATTTCTGTATCTTTAGTTACTCTTTGTTACATTCCACATACACACATGACAAGGTGGCTTTAATTGGATTCAATATTATTTCTAGGATTACTTCAGGGCTTCCCATTTTCACAATGACCACTAAGAAAAGAAATCACCGTCGCCATAGTGTAGATTGGAAAAAAAAATCTTTAAAAATTCCAGAGGAGACTATGAAATGGGTATGTATTGATTGGTACACAGCATTTAAAACTAGGTCTTAAAATTAATGCTTCATTTATCATATTAGATTTTCCAATGAACCACCCTGTTATTCAATATCTGAGCATAGCAATGTTTTTAAATAATCCAATTTTAAAATGCAAAGTAATGTACAGGCAAACAATTCCAAATACAATTTTCCTTTAGTGAATACAAAATGTTGATATCATAGGTAAGGTACCATTTAGCTTTAAATGAGCTATTGTGTTATCACTGTGTCTCATGCTACCTACTTTGGAAAAGCCAGTTTAGGAAACTGTTCTAAATGAACACTTAAGATCAATTTTAGATAATCTGAACGAATTATTTAATCTGTTTTACTGATGGAGTATTCCACATTAATGGAGATAGCATTCTAGTATATTAAATAGTAACTAAAATGAATTGATATCACCTTTTCTTTACCTGTTAAAAAGTTCTTCCATTGATCATATTTCACCCACATCCCACCTTGAAGAAATGTACAGGTACACTTTTTCATTTGTGTAATTAATCAGCTTTTAAATCTTATTTTGAGGTTCAATAAATAATATTCAATAAAATCTTATTTTAATGATCCTAAGGTAAATCTTCTATAAGCAACTTTGCTGGCATTTACTTTATGTAGAATAAACTGTACCTATTTCAAGTGTACAGTTTGATGTTTCACCATATGTATACACCCATGAAACCACTAACAATATAGAGCATTTCCATCATCGCAAAACATTTCCTATGCCCCTTTGCGCAATCCCAACACCCTGAACCTAGACAACCAGTGATTTGTCTTCCATCATTTAAATATTAGATTTGCCTTTTCTTGACCTTCATATAAATAGGATCATACAGTATGACATTTTTGCATCTGACTTCCTTCTAAGGTGAATCCTTTTTAATTTTTTAAAATTTATCTTCATTGTTGAAAGTAGTACAGATGTCCCACTATCCTCCCCCATTGACCTCCTCCACCCCACTCCCACCCCTTCCCTAGGCCTTCACTTCACTATTGTCTGTGTCCATGGATTATGCATGTATGCATATAAGTTCTTTGGTTAATCTCTTTCCGTGCCCCACTTTCCTCTGAGATTTGTCAGTCTGTTGTATGCTTCCATGTCTCTGGATCTATTTTGTTCATTGGTTTATTTTGTTCTTAGATTCCACATATGAGTGAGATCATGTAATACTTTTCTTTCTCTGACTGGCTTATTTCACTTAGCATAATACTCTCCAGGTCCCTCCATGCTGTCTCAAAGGGTAAGATATCCTTCTTTTTTATAGCTGCATAGTATTCCATGGTGTAAATGTAGCACAGCTTTTTTATCCACTCATCTACTGATGGGCACTTGGTCTGTTTCCAGATCTTAGCTATTGTAAATTGTGCTGCTGTGAACACAGGGGTGCATATATTCTTTCTGATTGGTGTTTCAGGATTCTTAGGATATATTCCTAGAAATGGGATCACTAGGTTAAATGGCAGTTATATTTTTAATTTTTTGAGGAAACTCCATACTGTTTTCCATAGTCACTGCACCAGTCTGCATTCCCACCAGCAGTGTACTAGTGTTCCCTTTTGAATCCTTTTTAAATGAAGTAATGAATATCTACTTATCCAGATATTTTCATGTAGAGGGTTTTCTTAAACTGTACAGCCCTTTCTATATAGATTCTACCTGTACACTAACTGAGACCCTGTTTTAGGGTAGATTGACATTGAAATTCACATTACACTTGTTCAGAGTAATGGGGAAAAGAGATAGCAAGTTTTATGTATTTTCTTCGATGTGTGTATTAATTTTAGCTAATCACATGGGTTCTTGAAATATCTCTAATTACATTCAGACTAAATTCTATTATGATATATGGCATCTGATGTGTACAGGAAGCAAAATGATGGTCTTAAGAATGACCTAATATTTAGAGATTAAAAACTAAACACCAGCAATATAAAAATCTCAACTACCAGAATGCCAAAGTAGGTGGAATTCACTTTTCCCTTCTACTTTTATGACAAAGGCAAATCACAAGAGACTGCTATATAATCGTCAACAACTACACCCCCAAATTTCTGATGGATCGGTGCCGAACAAGATGAAAGGCACTCTTGGTGGTCTTACTGAACGTCTTTATTAGCATTGTTCTGTTCAAAATAGTGCAGAGTTGGATCAGTGGTTTTTCACCTTTTTGGAGGTCATGGATCACCTTGAGAATCTTCTAAAAACTCTGGACTCCTCTCCATAGAGAAATTCTTATACACACAAAGTGTCATGTACAGTTTTAGATAAATTACAGACAGCTTGAATCCAAGATTAAGAACCAGTGACTTTGATAAAAACATGGAAGGCATGCAATAAATCTGTGGATGTCCTGTTTCTAGAGGGAATGGATGCTATGCTGTATGACAGAATCATGACAAAAATGATCTTGATAGCCTGGAAGCTGAGCTGAAAATAACATAATGAATTTGAGAAGACTGGAGGGAGAGGTCTGCACTTAAAAATAGAAAGTACATGCTGCCCATGCAGAAACCCTACCTGGGCAAGGTTGGAAAGTAGGTAAGGTTAATCTGAAGTGGTATTTTTGGATTTCTCTTTTCAGTGCCCTTACTGGCTTTCTGGTGTCTTATTTTTTAAACACCCAGGATTCTCATGAGTCTTTTAGCTCAGTGACCCACTCAGGTCTGCATCCCTCAGGCAGGATTCATTGCTCAGGGCCCTTGCCATCCTTTCAAAAGGTAGCCATTCTGTGACCTGTTCTTGTCCAGTAAACATGATCTTTCATCATCCAGTGATGTCATTCAGGTTGATAAGGACTTAGCTTTCTTAGGAGTATTTACCTTTAAATAGGGGACTCTGGAACACAGATAATTCCTTAATCCGGAGTCTAAACGGTGGAATTTCAAGGACTAAAACAATTCAGAGGGGAGTTATCTGTGGGAAAAGACGTCTCAGCCCCTCCCAAATCAAACCACATGGGTTACCATCTACTTCACCCTAAGGCGACTCTGGGTCAGTGTGACTTTCATCCCAGTCTCCTTAATCTTCTGTTTGTACATCCATAATATACCATATATTTTTGTTTGCAGTGAATCCTGAGACCCTATAAAATATGAAATAACATTTTCACCAAATTTTACTTGGGCAGGAAAACAGACTCATATGTTAAAGAGCTTTTCAATAAGTAAACAAAAGTTTTTTCTGTTTATCAGTGGCTCAGAAAATAGTAATGAAATAGGTCATTACTTAAACATTCTGATTAAACTTCAACCAATTACTTCAGCATAATTCTTATTCAGAAAAGGTACTACCTGATTTATTTTGCCATAGGTAGTTAAAGTTTAAGTGCGTAGTCGCACAAAATTCCAAATGAACCTTGGGCTTCTTAATCATTCACTTCTCATCACCTAAAAATATTTCCAGAAACTTCTCTCCTCTTGTTCTGTATTTAGCAACTAGGATATGCTAAAGTCAGCAATCAGCTCTTTGGCTGTAGGTCCCCATTCTCCCCAAATTCATCTTTTTATTCAGTCACCTACGGGACATTTATTTATTGAATGGCTACTGTGAACCAGGTATTATGGCTGGTAATACAATGGTGAGCAGAATCAGAGCTAGCAGAATTAGAGCTAGCAGAATCAGAGATAATATACAAGTTCCTGCATGTGATCAATAGTGGTGTGTTGACTCTAGGGGAGGAAGGCTGGGTTTGTACTGCAAATTACAGTGATCTATAATGAAAAGGAACTAAACCATAGTAATTCTTGACCTATAGCTAAGACACCATGCACAGGTGTGGGCAAAAGTAGGTTTACAGTTGTGAGTACGTGAAACAGAGTATATTCTTGTATTATTATTTATTAATTATTGCATTATTTTCCATATGAACTGTAAACTTACTTTTGCCCACCCCTGCATATTGATATTTCCTATGTCCTTTAGAGTACCAGGTGACCTTTCCCCTCAATATTGTGTGCTGAGAAGTTAAAATTTGTAGTTCTTACACTGGCCTGCGTAGTAACTCAAGTTTGATGAACTTTCAGTAAAAAGAACTGCAAGAGCTGGGAGATTTGACATTAATAGTACTCAGTCTTTTCCAAGCCCAGGACACCTGAGGATGATAACACACACTGGCTCACTCCTGAAAATGATGAGGTGGAGGTGGGAGGTAATGCAGAATTACATTCTTGGTAGGGGAGACAGGCAGGGGGTAAATGCAGTTTTAAAAAACTAGGTCATAACTATATATACCCAGACATTCCCCAGAGGAGAATTTCTGAGTGTAGTAAAATAATCTGCCTGAGATTATGCAAAGTCAAGACTAGACCCCAAATTCTGCACCAAATTACTAATTTCAATGAAACAAATCCACATTTAAGTAATAAATGGTTGTTTTACAATGTTTATGTGCTGGAAAACAGGTCTTATAAAGGGTTCAAACCAATCAATAAAGACTCAATAATCCCACTTGTCTTTGAAGCTTATGGTTTAAAAACAGAATTCAGAGATGATAATGAAGGCAATCTGATCACTATTTAAGGCCATCAATACCCTTAGTTTATACATATCAGTGATTTACATATTGTTAACAAGCCAATTCATTTAAAATATCAATAGCCTACAAATTACCTGAGGCAGGGGGAGAGAGAGAAACACTGATGTCACAGAGACACACGGGTTGCCTGCCACACACCCAACCAAGACCTAGGGCAGGATTGGACTTGTAACCCAGGTACATGCCCTTGACTGGGAATTGAACCCCCGATCCTCTAATGCACAGGCTGACGCTCTAACCACTGAGTAACCCAGACCAGGACAACATCAGGACTCCTGATGGCCTCTTTATGTTTTAAAATTGTGCTAATCATAGATTTTGCCATGCCATACTCGGTAGCCAGATCAGACACACAAACCCCTCTATCATACTTTGCAATTATTCCTTTTTTAAGCTCTTTCTCACAAATTTCTTTTTCACTTTGCTGCTATCGCTAACCTTAGGACCCATGGTGACTTACTGTATTTAATAATAATAAGCAGCAACAAAAGCAAAAAAAACATGAAAACATTCACAGCACAATTTCCTGGGATGTTAACAACTCAAGGTTTAGAGGTAAACTGACTCATACTCATGCATTCTCTTCTTTATTGCCTGAGAGACATGTGACTGATTATACAAGTATCAGCATGAAACGGTTGTTGGGTTCAGAACTGAAGTTTTGTTCTACAACCAAAACCTTTTTTTCCATGAACAACTTCGTCTAGAATCAAATTGTTTGAGATGAGAGACGTTCGAGAACTGAGTTTTCACTGTATTTATGAAGAGTAAATTCCTTCAGTCCTAACTGGCTGCATTAGGTACAACTTTAACCATGCTAAAAAATATTGGAAATTATTGCCCCTACCATCAATTCTATCTCTGGTATTAAAAAAAAAAAAAGTTTACTTCCATTAAAAAAATGCTTTCCTGATTAATATTTGTAAAGATCAGCACTCGAAATATTTATGTAAAAAGGGTTTGCAAATCAACAACACAGTTCCTGCTAACAAAACTCATTTTAACTACTGGTTATTAAGTCTCTGGCCCCAAGTTAATGTAAGTTTGTGGGCTCACTTACTTTAAGCAATATTTGCAGCATAAAATTCAAATTAAAAAAATAACTTGAAGAGTCACTTGGAGGTCATTAAGTTTTATGACTAGTAATCATTTAAGAATATTTCCATAAATTGAGATCGAGTTTACACTTATTAATTTCCTTTGGCTCCACATTTAATTAGCAATTCAGAAAATTACTGTTTTTAAAGATTTTTGCTTCAGTTCAAGCTTCACTAATTTTATTGACTTTAGCGCTACCAAAAACTGAGAAATGTCTTTATGAAGGACTTTAAGGTTTTAGTGGGCATTTAACTGATTTGAAAGAATAATTGAGAGATTCTCTCAACATTTTATTTTTTTAGTTTCTGAAATACAAATCAAAGTACATTTTTGTAACACAGCATGTTAATAAGTTTTACATTCTTTTCAATACAGGATGACTTAATGTAGGTACTTTAAAACTTCCTTTTTAAAAAAACACACTTTATGGAGGGAAATAGCTCATTAAAAAGATACATGGGTACATAGGCTATCATTTTTCATTATTTTAGTGCTTCTGAATACCAAACCTGGAATAACAGGCCCGCCAACTGAAAATTTGGTCCCCTAAAATATATAAGTATTCTTCCTATAACAAAAATAAATTAAATGTACTGTTGAAAAGACAGGAATTTTTGGTATAGGCTTCTGAGTGAGCTTAAAAAACAAGTTAGGAAGTGTTTCAACGAAGCAGAAGAAACATTCTAGAGTCTACCTAAAAACATTTGGTAGAACAACTGGCCTGAGGGTATTGGGGTTGTTCTGTCTTAGAGGGGGACTGAGGGTGTATGAAAGAGTGCTGAAGTCTCACCATAGGCACAGAATCACTTACTCAAAATTAACTAAAATTAATATAGACTATGCAACAATAGTAGAACAATTTCAACAGTTATTCCATGCCTGGAAAGCAAATTGTAAACTTAGAACAAATATCTCAGCAGGAACAATAATCAAAATGTTTATAAGACTTTGAAGGTGAAAAAAACCTCATCATTCTCTTGTGCACAAAGTGTATTTGTTTCCAGGACACTGGGGACAACCACAAAACATACAAAGTAAGAATAAATTCAAGCTGCTTAACCTTCCACCATTCCCTTGAGTGTTAAACCCAGACCACCTTTGGCTACTTGTAGGGGTGTCTTTTCTTCTTTATTCTCAATGTAAATGCTTGCTCCATGGGACACCAGCAGTTTTGCTTCTTCCACTCTCTCCTCATCACAGGCTAAGTGTCTGAAATTGAGGACCACAAAGACCGATAAATCACTACTACTTCTATATAATGGCTACGATTTCCTGATAGGTACTCTAAAGTGCACATTATTAGGTAGTGTAATATTGGAAAGCTATTTAATCAGGAAAGCAAAATCAATTTGCATAGGGAAGAGTGTTTGTAAGTTAAAATTCAGTGAAATACCCTTATAATACTAGATCATAAATCATAATTCTGGTTCTACTGCAATAAAAGAAGGGATCTAAATGCCAGCCTAAAACACAACTTCCTTATTTTATTGAGATTAGAAGTAATTTGCACCAAACACCGGCAATCATTCAGGGTTGGTATTTAGAAAAGCTTCCATTCATAATCTGCTAATAGGAATTTGTATGGTTTATATTTTGGAAAGGCAGTTTAAAAGAGTTTATCTCATTTGATCCTTATATCCTCCTTGTAAGTTAGCAAGGTATTACTATTACCATTTTACAGTTGAAAATTTTGACAGCAGTTTAAGTCCTTGCCTATGATGACATGACTGAGCAATAACTGAGAGAACCTTCTTGGGCACTTAGTTTGCCAGGCAGGGTATTAGAACTTTACATGTTATTTTATTTAAACCTCACAACAATCTACTGAGGAAGGAATTATCATCCTCATATTATAGATGAGGAAGTTAAGACTCAGGAAAGTTAAGTAACTACTCCAAGTAACTTAAGTATTTAATGTAGCCAGTAAGTGGCCGAGTTTGTAAATCCTAGGCCGTTCCTAGAACCTATACTGCCTAACTTCTAGATTTCTCCAGGCCACTGTGCCTTTCTTGTTGTGGAGAAAAGAGCTACAGTGGTACCTCGGTTTTTTAATGTAACCCATTCTGGAAGACTGTTCGAGTTCTGAAACGTTGGAAAACTGAGGGATCCACAGCCGAGAGCTGGGCCTCAGCATCTTGCACTCAGTGGAAGCCGTGTGGCATGTTTGACTTCCAGGGCGTGTTCAAAAACCAAAGTATTTACTTCTGGGTTTACGGCGTTGGTAAACCGAAATGTACGTCAATGGAGGTGTTCGAAAACAGAGGTACCACTGTACATGCAAGTCTTTCTAAACAGTCACTCAGAACTACAGAAAAGATTTTTAAAACTAAGAGTTAAGAAAACATTTTTTAAAAGTTGGTTTAAAAGTCAAATTAGAAAAGGTTGGGTCTCACTTTGGACTAAAAAGGAGGCTCAGAATTTCTGGTTCAAAAAAGTCACCATTCAATAAACAAGAAGAAAAATGGCCAAGTACTGCAGAAAAAGTATCAAGGTAGATGACAGCTTCAGGCAGTACACATAAATCAGTTCCAAATGGATTTGAGTTAAATGAAAAACAATAACAATAAATCTCAACTACAACCCATGCTGCAATAAAATAGAGGTGAATATTTAACTAATTTCAGAGTGAGGAAAGATTTTCTAGTCATGAGGGAAGATTAATAGGTTTGACTACATAGGTTTGACTTCCGTTATTTAAAAAAAGTCAAGAACAACATGAAAAGACAAACTGGAAAAATATTTTCAACTAACATGGCAGAAGGTTAATATTTTTACTATGTCAAGTCAAGGGTACTTAAAAAAATAAGTAAACAAATAAATTAATTCCCCAAAAGGAAATAAAAAGGGACACAAAATGTTGTAATTTATTTAAAAAAGTAATTAGTCATAGGCATTAAAAATGTTTCTATTTACTGATAATAAAAAAATGTATTTAATATAGTTGGTAAATGACTCAGTTTGTAAACTATGAAATATAACTATGGAATACCATTTTTCATACAAAAAATGGGTACTTTCAGTGTTGGTGAGGGGGTAATAGGCACTCTCAAAGTGCTTTTGGGAGGGTACAATGACACTCCTCTGGAAGCAATTTGGCAATATATAGCAATAGTCTTAAAATGTATGTATTTATTGATCCAGCAATTCTACTTCTAGGAGTCTATACTAAGGCAATAATCTGCAATATGGCCAAAATTTCTGTACAAAGTTGGTCAATGTAGCATTATTTATAACAGTGGAAAAATAAAAAAAAAACTTTAAATACACAGTAATAAAGAAATGATTAAATCACAGAACATCCCTAAAATGGAACTGTATACAACCATTCAAATATATTTTAAAAATACTTAATAACATTAGGTGAAAAGAACAAGATATAAAATTACATACACAGTATGATCCCAATTTTTCAAAAAAGAGAGTAAAATATGCAGTTGCATATATAAGACTTGGAGGAAATACATAAAAATGTTATCAGTGGTTGATTCTGGGTGGCAAGATGACAGGCATTTTTAATTTTTATCTTTATAATTTTGTGTGCTTTCAAATGTTTTTGCCATAAACATGTATTACATTTACAAGCAGAATAAAAAAAGGAAACTATGTGTAAGAATTAGTGCAAGAGGGCTAATGTCAGGTAGAATACAAATGACTGCTACTTGTCACTTACAGAGGAGTGTTACCCTCAGTGTCTTGGATGTTTGTGGATGCTTTGTAGTACAGAAGAATATGAATCATCTTCAAGTTACCCTTGGCTGCCGCCCGGTGCATTGCTGTAGCCTCATAATGGTCCTTAGCATCTGGATTAGCCCCACCTTCCAGTAACATGACAGCGATCTGGAAAGAAGGAGAAGAAAACAATGCAGAGATCTATCTGTGTTTACATACAGGTTTAGAATGTAAAAGAAGTCTCCTAGGAATAAAACCCTACCTCGTGCCTGTTTTTGGAAGCTGCATAATGTAGGGGAGTACAGCCATTTTGGTTGACAGCATTCACTTGAGCACCTCTTCCCAGAAGGGCTTTTACAATCTCATCCCGGCCAGCAGAAGCAGCAATATGAAGAGGAGACCAACCGGCCTGTAAAAGAGGTGGGCAGTAAAAAAACCAGGGGGGAAAGGCACAGACATTAATGCTAACATTTAGGCAGAGTTTACAAAGAGCTCTTTGTGAGTGGTTTTAAAAAACAACATTCTTCCTTTTCCCCTCATTAAGCACTGTAGAAAATTTGGAAAGCACATGTATGCAAAAGAAAAGAAAAACCACCCATAATCCCATAACACAGAGGTGATGATACTTGAGTCTAATTCTAATGTGTTTTCAAATTGGGATCATAGGCTATCAAGTTCTATGAGTTGCATTTTCCACAGTTTCCACTTATTTTGTTGTGAGAATTTTTCTGTCATTCTTTAGAATCATAACTTCATTGATTGCATATTATTTTATCATATGGATATACCTATTGTATCCAACTATTCCTATATTAAATTATTTTTATTTCTTTGCTATTATAAGTATTACTTCAGTGAGCCTCCATGAAAAGGAATCTCTGCCTACAAAAAAGTTTTCATCTTTATTCTTCACAAGTCTTATCCTAATATAACCAAAACCATTATAATAAATCTCTATATAACAAAATAGATATCTAGGCCCTCGTAATTCAGGCACTATTTCTCCCGCAAAATTTCCAACATAATAAGAAAGGTCTGTAGTTTGTTAGAGGTCATTGTAATAAGCCTTGATCTGCATGTTTACCTTAAATTGCAGGGTATTAGTGGCAAAACTAATATTTTAAAATAATGCAAACTAATCCTATGCTTGGTCACCAGGGCCATACTGTAATTTCCTAGTAATAAAGGTTACAATTTTGTTTGTAAGCTTAATACTCAGACTTCCGTAAACACCAGTCTGGAGTCTACAGATAACTGGGAATTTATCAACTCTGCCTAGTACTCACATCATCTTTATCATTCACTGGCACTCCAAGTTGCAGCAAGAATTCAACAATTTCTGTATGTCCGGCTGAGCACGCCCAATGCAATGCAGTTCTGCTGTCCTACACGGGAAAGAGAGAAGCAATAAGATCAACATTCCTGAAGAGAAATAGAAGAACTAAGGCAAGAAAGCAGAAAAAAGTAAGATTGGGGCCAGCAAATCTGTAGTTTAGAAACAAGTGGAGATCACTGGATCCTCAGGTGGGTAACCTTAAACCATATTATTACTAATATAAGCGAGAACAAGGTTTTAGTAACTTGGGGAGAATACAATAATGGATATAGGTAATTCTGGGCAGAATACAGCCATGAAAGCAGTAGAGTAAGAAACTGATTTGAATGCTTTGGCAGAAATAGAGCTTTGGCTGTTTACTATTGCATTATTTATGTACGTTTAGGCACTGTGCTAGTTTTACATATGTCTCACTTAATCCCCATGATCCTGTACAGTGGCTATTATCCCCATTTTATAGATGAAGAAACTAAGGCTCCTCAGGGTAAGCAACTTGTCCAAGGTCATGCAACTAGTAAATGGTGAAGTTGGGACATAAATTGCTGTCTGTCTGACTCTGAAATTTCGAGAGAAAAAACAAGCGTATCTGATGGGGAAGAAATGATCATAAAACTAGTTGAAATTATTTGTATATCCATTTAAAAAACAACAACACACACATAATTGGATAGCAACATTACTTAAAAAAAATAAGCTAGGAGTTTGTCATTACTCAAAGGGAATCCCTTTTTGCATTTATTGCTATATTTCTTAGCTCCATGTGAAAGAAAATGGTATCTTAAATTTTATAACAAGAAATTTCAAACACATATAAAAATAGAGAGAATGTAATAAAAACCCATATGCCTATCACCTAGATTTAATATTTTGCCGTATTTGCTTCATCAAATTTTTTCTTTGCTGAGGTTTTTTAAAACATATCCCAAATATCATGACTTTTCATCCTTAAATATTTCAGTATCTAAAAACAAGGAAAGTTTCCTTCATAGCTCTGAGACCGTTATTATACCTATTAAAATTAACATTAACTCTAAAAAAATTAAAATTAACACTAGATGTTTTATAACATCTAATACCCAGTTTGTATTCAGATATCCCCAACTGTCCCCCAAAAGTCTTTTCGCAGTTGGCTTATTTCAATCAGGACCCATACAAGGTCAAGTTGCATTTGGTTATGTTTCTTAAGTCTCTTGATCTTGAATAGCTTCCCCTTTTTATGTCATTGACTTGATGAAGAATGGTTGGAAGCATTATTCGATCTTAATTTAATGTTATTAAATTAAAATTAAAGTATTAAATATTGCCAGACCATAATGAAGATAAATTAGGCAAAGGTAAAGCCATTTTCTGATTAAGCAATAAAGGAAAGTTCCAGGAAAAAAAATCTCCTGACTTCTAATTCTCTTCCCAAAGACACAAAAAGGAGATCTCTAAGTATGTGACACTGTCTCACTAGTGCTTAGCATGGTGCCTGTCAAATAGGAGGCAATCTATAAATACTTGTTGGCTTACTAAGTGCACTGTGCATCTTGCTTAGAAACTCAGGGTTAAAGCATGAGAGCAAGAGAGAAGAAAGAAACACTTCCCCAAATCCATTCGCTTTTGTTCTGCCTCTGCCTAGAATGCCTATTCATCCTCCAAGGAAATCCCACTCATCCTCCAAGTTCTAAAGTCTTTTGCAAAGCCTTTTCAATGACAACATTCGGCTTTTCTAAGGGGGTTAAAGCAGATCCTCCCATTACATATTCTGAAAGCACTATGTGAACTTCTCTTCCGAGTTTTTAACCACAATTTGTAATCGGACATATGACTTGGGATTACTTTATGCATGTCTGCTCCTTCAACTCCTAGCAAACTGTCTAGCACAGATGAGTTCAATTACACGTGTTTCATTGGAAAAAAAACCACTTGTAAAAGTAAATGCACCCATTAAATAAACAAACAAACAACTTTCCTCCTCAGGGATATCTCAAAGATTGGATATTTCTGAGAAACGCAGTAAACGTTGTAGAAATATTCAAAATTCAGCGAGCTACTGGGCCAAAAAAAGAAAAAAAAAAAAGGAAATAAAGAGGAAGGAAAGGAAGGGAAGGAAGAAGGGAAGAAAAAAGGGAAAGAAAGAAAGGAAGAAAGGAAGAAAGGGGAGGGGAGGGGAGGGGAGGGGAGAA